AAGTTTTGACAAGTGGGTCATTACCAACCCCATTGAAATAGAGCCTTTTTTGTTAAGTACCACGATGTTCACTAAAATTTCTTTAATAATTTTAAAAATTAGCTGCTAGGGCAGCTATATTCTCGTGAGTGTTGTCCACTAGCACTACTTATGTAGAGCAATAAACGCACTGTTTGGGTCACACAAAATTGACTTTTGAAATAAGTTTGCATTATTTCCCAACGAACATCTTCTGCTTATTTGGCATTACAACCGTTGGTTGGCTTGGGCCGAGACCAAAAAACTTTGCCAGTTACCTATCTCCTTTGCGGATTTGCGATAGTTGTTCTCATCCCGAGTGCGGACAGATCCTTCTGCACTTGGTCCTTCCATTGTGTTCGTGGGCGCTCTTGCTTTTGTTGTCCACCGATGGGTGCGGAGTCGAAGGAGATTTTCACCGGGCCGCCTTGTCATCCATGCGTACAACATGTCCAAGTCAGCGCAATCGTTGTGTTTTTATGCGCTTAAGTATGTCCATGTCGTTAAAAAGCTCATACAGTTCGTCATTTAATCTCCTTCGGAACTCATCGTCCACGCGAACGAGGTAATAGATCTTGCGTAGAATAGTTCTGTCGCAAGCCCCCAAAGCCTTCTCATTTTTGTTAGACATCGTCCATGTTTCTGCGCCATATGAAAGTACGGGCATGATGAGAGATTTGTAGAGCGTGATTTTTGTTCGGCGAGAGAGGGATCTGGTTTTCAATTGCCTACCGAGCCCAAAGTAGCAGCCGTTGGCAAGAGTTATTCTTCGCGCATTATTGGTGGTGGTTATGCTGGATCCCAAGTAAACAAAGTCTTTCACTACTTCAAAGTTATGGCAGTGACATGTGTCCCGCCAATATTTACGCGAAGACTTTTTATGTGTTGCCAGGAGGTACTTCGTCTTGTCCTCGTTTACCGCTAGACCAACCTCGTTAGCTTCTCTTTCTAAGCTGCAAAATGCTGCGCTGACATGCCTGGGTTTCGTGCCAACGATATCAATAAATATCATTTGTATACGCCAGCAGCATCGTGCTTTTGCTGTTTGTATATGGTGCCGCTGCGATTCAGCGTACATATCGCACCGTAAATCAAAAACAGTCACACTCAAAAAACTCCAAAAGTTCAAAGTAATTTTTTCCAAATCTTTATATATATATGTATACATATATATACATACGTATTTATGAATTATCACGCGTTTGTTTTTTTTTAATTTATGGATGAGTATGCAAATATGTAAGCATCACGTTAAAAGTTAAACATACATTACATTGATTGTAAATTATTGTGAAGCGATTCTGTGCGGCGCTGATTATGTTCAAATGAAAGCGAAGTGAAATTAAGATTACATCATCCTCAGAAAAGTGAAATTGCTTTGAGAGCACAAGCCAATAAATATAAACATCTGTCATCATACATTTGGGTGGTCCAAAAATGCAAAGTCGAAACTTTAATGAATTCACCCCCTAGGATTGTTCTGTATCGAAAAAAGCTTTACCCCTGTTTTTTTTTTTTAATTTTTATTTTGCAATAAAGAAATATTTAGAGATAGCTCAAAGCGCTTAAAATTTTCCATGTATATGGAAAAAAACAAGTTTTCGTAGAAATGGTATAGAATTCTTGAAAATCAATATTTTTCGATCGGCAAACTTCGTTTCTCTTCAGGAGACTTGTTGTTTATTTAACAATTTTTTTAATACTAACGATTTTTTATGGGTCCCTCCATCGCATTTTCATGGGTTTTTGGCGGATCTGTAAAATATTGTTACAATGAAAAATGGTTGAATAAACCAATCGGTTATTATTATTGGGAATCGCCTGAAGAAAATAAAATTCTATTCCATTACTACAAAAAGTGGTTGTTTCCCATATAAAATACATGGAAAATTTTGCGCCATTTGAGCGACCTCTACATTTTTTATTGATTTTAAAATAAAATATAGGCGTATATTTTTTCGGTATACAACAACCCTAGGAGTTGATAGCATTAAAATTCCGACTTTACTTTTTTCTCATGCATTTTTGGACCACCCTAGTGCACAGCTTAGTAATAATAGATGTGAAAATGTCAAAGTATCCTGATTTTGTTTTGGTCATTTGTTGAGAATTGAAAATCAAACTACTGGCGCTTTTTTTAGTTTAAAAGACCTTGTTTGAGCACAAACAGAAAGATTTCTTCCTTTGGGACTTTTTAAAATCTCGTGTTTACCACGACAAACTACAAACCTTGCAAGTCTTTAAAATTAATATTGAAGAAGGAATCGCCAATTTGGAGCCAGATGTTTTGCGTGCAACACTCTAAAATGCTGTAAAACGGGCACAGTTGTCATCATCAACTCGCGAGGTGGTCATTTAAGTGATATAATTTTTTCAACTTAATGTCCCCAATTTTATATCTTCAAATAAACTTTACATGAAAACAGAGTTAATTTTTTCATTCACTAAAAATGTGGTAGTCAAATCACATTACGACATTACTTTTGCGTCACCGCGTATTGCTCAAAATACATTGCCTAAAAAATAATACATTTTCCATTGTAAGTAGCATAAGTTTTATAAGGTAACGAAAACGTAAGAAATTTACTACTATTTCCTAAAGAGGGCTTCATTTTTCCCCGATTCTGCCATACTTGCAATATGCGAAGTTGAGTTGAGGGCGTACCAAATGGAGCTGTCACAACGCACAACATTACAAACCAATAGAACTGTCAGGTATAAGCAAAATAAGATCATATGATGAGCCGTTTATTTTGAAAGTGGCGCTAGTAATTTCCTATTTCTTTCGCTTAAATGGTTGGCTACTTCTAACTGAATGCAACTGTAAATCGTTCTACCATCATACAGTAATGGTAATACTTTTTTTCCTTTTGGCTCAGAAAC